TATAATTTTTATATAACACTGATACCATATGATACTTTTTATTTAGAAATTAAGCCATACAACATGGCATACGTTTTTTAATTCATGTATTGTTTATACCTACACGATTGTCATTAAAAAACGAAAACATCTTTTTTAATGTTAGGAAAACTTGCTTCTGTCCCATCCCCCCCATTTTTTAAAAAATCAACTTTTCATGATAAAAATCATGTTTTCCCTTTAAATTAAGAGAACAAAGTGTTCCAACCAATAGACAAAAAAGTGATTGTTTCATTTGAGACAGAGCACAGCAGAACATATTTGCAATGCATGGTGCAGTTCTGAAAACATGAAGCAATAATCTGTGTTCATCTTCAGAGTACATCACCCCAGACTTCTCATAATCAGCCTCTGTTGTGTCTCAGATGAGGGAGAATATCTTCCAAGTTTGGGGAAGGGTGTGGAGTGATATCTAGACAGCCAAAGGGCCCAAACTTTTCGGTGTGGAAATTCACTAACAAACTCACAAAAATCCAGCTAGGATGGGGCAAACTGCCTGGCGGCGCACACGCAGCACCCATATAGATGGCACACGGGTGGCACCATACAGCAGGTGGCACTCGCATCCCCAGCAGGTGGATTTTCGCCATCGTCATTGTGAACATCCACCCACTGACCATGCAAATATGCCTGGCATGCGGCACTGCCAGCCAGGATGTGAGCGCCACCCTCTGGGGGGTGCCAGGTTGATCGCGAGGCGTATTTACATGATCAGGGGGCAGATTTTCACCATGACAATCGTGCCAATCGCGAAAATCCACCCGCAGGGGGTGCGAGTCCTATCACACTGATCTGCCCGGGGGTATTTTGTCACCCCCCAGGCATGACACCCAGGGCGGACTACAACCCCTGCACCCTCCTTGCGATGCCCCTGAGCTGATCCACACAAGTTTTCTGGAAATACTCTAAGAAAGTACCCTGGAATTGCTCACGATTCAGATCTACCTGCCCTGCCTCACCCAGCAGTTCTTATTGAGTGAATGCAGGGAAATGGTTTATATAGAGTCTACTGCAACATACACTCAAGCCATCCACTATTGTGCCTTCTAATTCCTCAATTAAAAAAGAAATAAATGCAAAATGATTCAGCAAAACAGATTTTGGAAAGAGACTCACAGTTGCTTGCTAGCAAGGTCACCCCCCCAAACAGAATTAAGTTCCTAAAAGTAGGAACCACTCTCTGTTGCTTCTTTGATTACCTATGAGATCAGGGAAACAGCTCTGAGCATGCTTAGAACCAGTGTAGTCTAAGTGAATTAGACGAATATGTTCTATGTGGGGCTACCCTTGGGCCTAGTTCAGAAGCTCTAGTTGCTGCAGAGTGAAGTGCTCAGGGGGCCTGCTGCCAACAACATGTGACACCTTTGTTAAAACATCTGCACTGGCTGCCCATCTACTACAAAGCAAGGTCCAAGCTCCTTGTATTAACTTACAAAGCTCCAAACAACTTAGATCCAGGGTGCCGCAGGGATTGTCTGAACCCTTATACCTCAGCTCAATCACCAATATCATCTACAGGAGCACCATTGGTCATTCCTTGAATTGGTTAGGCTCATTTGACAACAACAAGAAATTAAGCCTTTAGTGTCATTGGCCCAGTTCTGTGGAATGTTCTGCTAATAGAGACTCAGCAAGTTTCAAGTTTTAGGTGCCTGTTGAATTCTTTTCTATTCTGCCAGGCTTATGCAGGTAATGAACAATAAATCTTCTCATAATAGTTGATTTCTGATTTTTATTTATGTATTTATGTATTATTGCATTATGTATAACTGTTGTTAACTACTCTGATTTTTTTTAAAGAATAGTGGTATATAAATATTTTTATAAATAAAATCAAAAGCAAATAAGAGTGTGTGTGGCTTTGAGATTTTGAAAAGGAATTTTTCAAAAATTGCTTGACATTTTCAGTGGGAGAACAGGTCCACTGGGTGAGCCTCCACTGACTAGAAGATTTATCAGAGATGAACAATACACACATAAGCACACACAATTCTTCTTCTCTCTTTATTTTAGATTCTAAGGTTGCATTCCTATTCACTCTTACTAGGGAGTAAGTTTTGCATTGCACATATTGGGACTTAACATATTTACTCGAATGTAATGTGCATCTATTTTGGCCAAATGACGTCACGAAAATTAGGATGTGCATCAGATTTGATGGTGCATTTACATTCACCAGCAAATACTTTTTTTGGTTTCAAGGTTTTGAAATTTGAGGTGCACATGAAGTTTGATGGTACTTTAGATTTCTGTAAATACAATACTTCAGAATGGATGCAATTAGGACTGTGCTATCAAGCGTTGTTGGTATGGCACATTGCCTTAGTCAAAGGTAAAAGTGTTCAGATCTTAAGTCTGCCTAACTATTTGCATTTTTGATTGTACGCAAAATGGAAAGCAGATTAAACCTTGAGTGTAATGCAGTGATTTCTGTAATTTCTACTAAAGACATCCACCAACTGAATATTAGAGCTAGCTTCTTGGTTCTTGCCCTAAACAAGAGGTCACACCCTCTTAAACTTTTAAATTGATTCACCGTTTTGCATTGTGCTGAAAAGTTATCCAGTTTAGATGTTACGCCCCTCCAGGTGAATTACATATTGTTTGAAAAATTAATAATTAATTAATAATTAATAATTCTCATTGATCAACACATTTTATCTAAGCACTGGATGGCATTCAATTAAGTTAACAACAACAACAACAACATTTATACCCCGCCCATCTGACTGGGTTGCCTCAGCCACTCTGAGTGGCTTCCAACACACATATAAACAATCAAACATTAAAAACTCAGAGTAGACCCACATAAATTAATGAACTAGGTTAGGTCCATTAATTTCAATAGGACTACTGAGAGGAAAACTTAGTTGATAACAACCCATTGCCATCATCTGTGCATCATCATCACTGTGCACATGGCACCTTCCAGAGGATGAGTGATGCATGAGTTTTTAAGTTTGCACACTTTACGTTTGTATAGCTTTTTAAAGAATTGGGGGTGAACTATGCTCCTGCAATGACTCTTCAACTTGGCATTTTTATTTGACTGAAATTCAAGATTTAGTAGCATTTGTAATAGTATTAATCACATTCAGGGTATTTATTTGTTTCTTTTTTTAAAAAAAACAACAATCTTAATATATCGACATTATGGTGATTTGTTTCAAATTTGAAAAGTGCTAATTTAAGTCAAGGCAGACATAACATGATAAATATGTAAGAGTATACTTAGCCATTCTGCATAATGCTTTAGAGGACTGATGGACATTTATCCATGCAGACACTGATAATGCCCTCTAATTCTACTTCACAAGTCTATTCCTGTCAAATACTATCTGCAAAGTCCCTGTGGAAGGGCTCATGCAAAGATGAAGCTGGTATAATTTTTTCCCTTCTTCTCCCACCACCTGGTCACATATTGGGTCAAGAGTTATCTAAGTGCCAAGTGCCTGCTGTTAGAGAGCTAATAAAAAACAACAAGAGTCTTACAATCTTCTTCTGACCTGACATCCAAAACATCGCCCTCCCCTGCTACAGTACCATTATTTTGCTACCTTCAAGTACATCCCCTTAAATTTCCACTTTTTAATGTACAGGACTCCTATATGAACACAGAGATATGTGCAGGGAAGCATTCATATTTACTTTTTAATGTATAGGAATTCTGCATGAACAGAGAGATACATGCATTATTACGTGAAATATGGGAATTCTTAATTTTGGATATAAACTGGTGTTCAAATTATATATTAAAAGCAGAACTTCTTAAAGACTTGGTACCCCAGATTCATTTGTAGGTCACCTGGGTTTCAACTAAGCTGGACATCTTCAGAGGACAGTAGAATCCTCTCCTCTACCTGACTCTAGACTCATCCAAAATACCCCATAAAGCTGAGCACAAGAGAAAACTACCCTGCAACATACGATGCACAGAAATAGAACTAAATAGCAGGAAAACCGAACAGCAGAGCAATCATTCACTATTTTTTAAACAACAACAACAATAAGGATATCTTGGATCAAACCTCTTTTTTCCTCATGGTCTTTTCTCTTCTTTGTTTGACATTATTCCACTGTCCATGCACAGTCAGATGTGCCATTTCTGCTTCAAAATAAAATTCATAAAAAGCAATCCACAGATCTTGCAAGCCTGAAACTGTGTTAATTTTCTGATCCACGTTCTTGCCACAAAAATTAACCGGCAGTATGATAGCTCCAAGAGCAGACATCTGATTCTTGACATTTAAAGATACAATACTGGTGAAAAATAGTGACGCTTTATTAACTGAAAACAGCTTGTGAGGGAGTCAGTGATGTACTCTTAAAGAGTATAATCGGAACATTCAATAATTTCAGTCTTTCAACTTTGCATTCCCCCCCCCCCACCAGTCAGAGCTTTCTCTTTTTTAAAGGAATAACAGCTAGATACACCAATCTGGTCACTTCATGTAATTGTTTCGTAAGGGTTTTCTGTATGTGACAAAAATGGATAGTAGGTTGGTTCACAGTGTACAAAACAGAATTGCATTACTAAGTGTTCCAAGGGGCTCCAGTTTTTATCACAAAATAATAAAATGAAGGCAAATCCTAAGATTATAGAAGCTAATGAATGTCTGTTCTGGTAATATCAGGTTCATTGAGATTGTAATGCTAAATGAAAGCTTACTACCTCTAGCTCCCTTGTGACCCTGCTGTGCCTTATTGTATGTCTTGAGTGCCTTTTTAATCCCCCCCAATTATTCAGAAAGCTCTTGTTCTTTTCACATGTTAAGAAAGTGAACCAGTTCCTCATTGTATCCATTCTTTTTAACACTGACTCTTAGCAACCAAAATGCAGATTTATTCATAATTTGCATTAACTCCCACCTTCATCTCCCCATTTGGAGTCTCATCTCAGTGTAAGGCATATTTGGAACCAGAGGCAATGTAAGTAATGCAAGCAACAACACATACAGTACCTGAAGATACTGGCAAGACCGCTCTTGTTGACAAGTCTCTGCTTTCACCACTGTCTGGTCCATGTTCATGGAAGCCTTTTGGTAAACCTCACGGGCTCTGCTTACCGTCAGCGTAGAGGACCAAGAGCTTTTTTTCATTAACTGAGCATCCAGATTTACTGGCAGGTTTGCACAAGTGGAACATTTGACATCATTATTGCTTCTGGAAGGCTTCACCGCATGTTCACTGAGAGTGTTGTAGGCTTCCATAAAGTACTGAGAAGCAGAACGGTCAGGGCATCTCCCCATCGTCATAACCCCACTTGGTCCATGGTAAATGCAAACATCATTATCTAGGTTGTCATCCGAGCTCCACCATCCTGAAGCATTTGACCTGGATTTTCCATCTGACCGCCGGTCTTTGCTCTTGCTACGTTTGCCATACCTCATAGTCTGTGTCTCCTCTGGGCTTGATTTGCCTCCATTGATGCTTCCTTTTGATGGGCCTTCGAGAGAATGAGACTTTGTGAAAAGCTTTTGAACAGAGTGAACCAAATGGCGGATCCTCCCTGGACTATCGCTACGATGTTCTACAGCAGTCCTTTTGTACTGTAAAGTATGGTAGCCATCTCGGTTTAGAGGAAGCTGCCTTTCAAACTGGTCCAAAAGATTGGCAGGAATGCGATTACTTTTACCGGCTGTTCCGTGAGGCACCAAAGCACACTCATCTTTAAGCTCGTTATGGGAATTGTAATGTCTCCGAGGGAAGGTGCTGCTAGCAATCTGATCGTTGTAGGGAACCACACATTCTCCCTGAAAAGAGTTCCTCTGAGTGTAGTAAGAGTGATCTGCAGGATGATGTTCCACAGGATTTAACAAATATGGCTTCCTGTCAGAGTGATGTACCAGAGAGTCACATGCTGGTTCACAGGCAACCCCATGATGGTGGCTGCGGCTGCTAGATAATCCTTTCATCATTGAAGTGGAAAATTTCCCAGAGTCATCTGAATATGCTTATGTTACTCAAAGATCATCATGAAAGACCTAGAAAAATGGAGAATAAAAAAAAGTGAAATGGTTTGGTAATGCACATTTGGTTTTGGGTTGTTATAATTGTTGCTACTACAGAATGGCTGGCTCCAGACTAAGTCACACATAGTTCCTATTGAAATCAATGAGACTTATGTTAGTCGCTACTAACTTTTCACATTCATTTCAGTGGAACTTAATTGCAACTAACGTAATCTGATCTGACCCATTGAATGCTGTGTTATGCTTCAGTTAGTAGGTAAGGTAGAAACAGTCCAAATAAATACAAAGTCATGCCACAACTGGATACAACGTGTAAAAAATGTATATTCCTGGGATTTAGTCATAAGTCATACATATATTTTGAGATGGTCACCTTTGGAGTAGAGTGGGAATGGATGGGCGGGCAGGAGCTCCTAACAAACAGCATCTGCAGAGCATGTTTTTGAACCCCTTGAAATGCCTGTTACACTCAGTTGTCACCCTTACTACAAAGCTATGTCTTTGTTATAGTTTAATCACTAAAACACAATCTCCTAATAGAAATTTGGGGACTGACAACAAATGGCAATGCTGTGCTGATGTCTCCTTCCTGCTTCCTCCTGCTAACCCCACCCTAGGGAGCTAATTCCTATGAAGCCATAGGCATACTTGAACTCTGGATCAACACATGAACCTAGTGGCTGTGCAACAAACATTGGTACTATGGTGACTAGCTGAGAGAGTCACAACGGTTCCTGACTTCCAAGGTAGCACCAGAAGCTTGTGACTCTTTGGCTACATGGAATTCTGACTTCTGCCACAGGTCACAGTAGAGTTAGAGGTTGTTGTCTGGCTGTGGGATGTCTAGCCCCTAGGAGTGTCTGGTGCCAGGAGGATTATAGCACAGTGCAGTGTATCAGGTTTGCAGATTACAAAGGCACTATACAGAGAAAACTGAATAATACGCTGAAGTCTCATTGAACATCTAGTTCAACCTTTAAATCTTATGGGATAAAATTGGATTGAACCAAGACCGCACAGTGATATTTCCAAACAGTTATTTGCTTCCAAAATTTTATATTCACTTGCTACTAAATTTTATATTTTCTCATGATAGCAACATATGCATTGGTATATTTATTTGGAAATAAGGTCCACTGAAATTGGAATTGAAGGTAAATATATCTAAGACTAGAACATCATTAACTTACAGAAAGAAGTATGTCTCAGGAGCTAAAATATAACCAACTCAAAATTATTTTTCCAGTCTTTAATGCCTGTCTTAATAACTGTAGAACATGTAGTTCTCTGCTTTTTACAAGACATATTGCCAAGTAAGCAAAAAAAAGTTTATTATTTTACAGTGAATAGCATTTGGAACATACAATCAAGTTGAACTCAGTGCTTTAGCCAAATAAAAACCACAGAATTGTATAGAATTGCAGAGCTGGAAGAGACCCTGAGGGTCATCTAGTCCAAGGATGGCCTGAAACGCTTAAGAAACATTATAAGGTGCCCTAGCAATTATAAAGTGCCATATACAGTGTACTTAGTGTTTCTGGCAGCGCTGAAAAATATTTTACAACTTTACGAGTTCTTCTGGAAACATGGGGCTGGAATCAGCTCCCCCATTCTGCGAGCAGAAGCCATCGCAAGGGTTTCTGCTAGCAAAACAGGACTCCCCCTGCTTTGTTTTCCCCAAAGCCACTTTGGAAGGTTAGGAGAACCTCCAGGAGAGTGCATGGGTGGAAGAGAGGGCAGATCGATCCATTGAGCAAGCAGAAGTCCTGGCACTGACAGAATGAATTCCACACATTCCATATTATGCCGAGGAATAGTTCTGATTCCAAGAGAAGTGTAAGTGTCTATATTACCTGAATCATTTTGGCTGCAATCCTATAAACCCTTAGCTGAGAGTAAGTCCCATTGAACTCAGTGGGATTTAATTATGAATAGTCATGCAAAAGATAGCACTGTTAATTTTTTTATCGTTGTAATGTCAAGGCTAGTCCCATTCTGTTCAGTTTTTTGGTTCCGGGTCCAAATGTATGAACTGCTAACAAGGCATGGGTGTCTGTCTTTTCCTTTTGCAAAGCACTACAGAATATGCTTATGATTTAGAGTACAAGTAGTCCCATTGACTTCTAGCTCAGCATGTTGTAGGATCACTTTAGCTAATGATAAATTAATCCTTAACAGAGAGTGTCACTAAGATTGCAGACACTGCAGGAGCCGTCTTCTAACACACAATTAATCTGAGTCACATCCAAACACCACTTCAAGGTCTGTAAGTACTGAAGCAGCACTAGGTCTCTGAGACATGCCAGCACATTTAGAGCAATGTTTAATCAATTCAGCATACAGCTACCATGACATTACCCTTTTTAAAAAAAAAAGGAAAAAGGGGGGGGGAGCACTGAAATGATTCATGAAAATGGTGGATTGTGATAATTGATCTCCTACTGATTTGACATGCACACAGATTGATCTTTATGAAAATGTCAGACCAAAAGGCCCTTTATAATCAATAATCTTGGTATAAGAATAGTTATACGTATATGCGTTTGCTACTGCCTGGTTTTGTTTGCTCTTCAGTATTAATATCTAGTGCTCCTTTGGAGGAACAACATAATTCCAAAAAATACAGTTATACAGTCTCAGGCCACTTTGGTACCCATATTCTGTGAGCCCTTACCATGTCCTCAGAAAACCGGAATAATCTTCCAGTTTCCTTGTAGCACAGATTTCACGCAAGATGTAGGTGAAGGTCTCACATTCATTCAGGACCACATTTTGGAAAGGGCTGCAAGACCACCCAAAGTACTTTGAAGTTACTGTGAACATGATTTTCCTGTCATTATGCAAAGAACAGATGAACAGCTAAATATATAATCGATTCACTTACAAAACAGGAGCTAAAGACGCTCCAACGGCCCACACAGCTCAGTGTGAATGAGATTGGGGAAAGATTTAACCTGACTATGCTACAGGAAATAATGTGCTGCACTGCTGCTTGATCTATTCCGCCAGATTATGGCCAGCCCCATTCAGACAAAAAACAAAACAGAAGGCATGTGATATTGCAGAGGTTTTAAACCTTTTTAAGTCCACGGCTCCCTTAACTAACTACATTCTTTCTGCAGCACTCAGAGCTGGGAGCCTCTCACCCTTTTCCCAACGCCCTCCCTTGTGGAGTGTTCCCTCAGCCCCCTCTCCTTGGGAGTTTTCTGGGCAGCTGCTGCTACCATCCCTGGTCTCCAAGCTGCCCCCTCTGCCCCAAAGAGAAGTGCCTCTCTGAGGCACCATTCACCAGCTGGGCTTAGAGCCAGGGCTGCTGCAATTAACAGTTGTGCAAGCCTTTGGGAGGCAGAGATGTGAGAGGGCAGCAGAGGAGGGAGGGGAGGAAAGAGAGGCCAGTGTTGTCATTCAAGGCACCCCAGGGTGCCACGCACACTGGTTGAAAACCATTGCAATATGGTGATGGGCCATAGCTCAGTTGTAGAGCACATGCTCTGCATGTGGAAGGTTCTGAAATCTCCTGGTAGGGCTTTTAAAGACCCCTGGCCTCCAGTTCCTGATAGCTGCTGCCAATAGGGTAGACAGGATTCAGCTAGATGAACCGATGCTATACAGCAACTTCCTATGCTATTCTATCACATTAATACTGTCACAGAAAGGGGGCACAGACTGGCTATAAAAAGTAACATATTCATTACAATGCAGCACATTACATAATTTTGGATAATTTCCTGCTGTGCAGTGCGTAACAAAAAGGTACGTTCAGTACAGAGGCAACATGCAGCCTGTGCCTGATGACACACTGTACTCCATGCATTCAAAGCTATTTGGTTTCTGAACTGTGTATGTACACACACACACACACTATATTTTATTGAAAATTTTCAGTGAACAAATAAAACTAAAGAAATTTTTAACAAAGAATCCCCCAAAGAAAAAGGTGCTTGAAACTGTAACACAATGCAATATATAAGTACAGGGCTTTTTTTTCAGTCAGAGTTCACTGGAACTCAGTTCTGGTCCCTCTCAAGTGGGCACCATTGCCATTCCAAGAGAACAAGGGTGAGTTCCGGCAGCTCTTTTCCTAGAAACATAGTGTACAGGTATATATTTAATGCTATTATTCCGGTGAGTATATAATTATTAACAAGTCGTCGTGATTTTTATAAATGCATTCCTGTATTTATCCATACACAATCTGTTTCTAAAAGCAACCCGATCCTATGTTGTAAGAGTTGTTACATGGGCAACCCAGATGGGCAGTATATTATTATTATTATTATTATTATTATTAGTCCATGGATCAAAGGGGACCATAGTATTATCTTTCCAGTGAATCAGTAACAGTCTTTTGGCAGAAGTAAAGGCGTGAAGAGTCCATCTACACTGACCAGCTGTCAAGCCAATTGGGATTTTCCTGGCACAGCAATGTCGGCTCAGGTGCCTTCCTCTCTACAGCAAGAGGGCACCTTGCAGGCAGAAGGAGCTCCTGTCCTAATTCCTGCTGCTCTGCATAATCACCTTGGTAATGGCAGGAAGCTTTACTACTACAGCTTGTCAGCCCAGCTGTGGGGATCAAATAAGGCCCTGTTGACCTCATGCAGCTGCTGTCTCACTTGTTACCCTATGGATTCCTGTTTCAGCCCAGGCCATGTGTTTGCCAGCACTGGACCTTGTCACTTGCTTTTGGAACTTTGGTTGCTGCTTTGGGACCTTGATGTCTTTGACTACGTTTCCTGCCTCTGGCACCTTGGCTACTACCACTAAAACATGACCTGTGAACACCTGCACTACTCACCTCTAGCAGTTGTACTGACAACCAATACCCCCTAGGGCCCTGATAGATCATCACTCAGGAGAGTGACTTAACTGGGTCCTGCTACATATTAGCAAGGATTCAGCCTTTTTCACAAGTGTCTTGGAATGTTTCTCTAGAGAGGGCCATTGACTTCACAGGGTACTTATCAGGGTCTCCCATAGGAAAGGAGAGCTGAACAATTTTCTGAACATGGATG